GTTCTTGTAACATGTAAGCAGAGTCTTATAAGTAACTTTAATTTTCAAAATGAAAAAAAAAAAGAAAAACTGGTAACGCCATAATAGGCTCTATTGTCCGGAACTGTTAACTATGTTTTAGCCCGCTCTCTCTCTTCGCTCTCCATTGTAAACAAACATCACTGTGTACATGTGTTAGACTAAATCAGTATTAAACAAGTAACATTCAATTGCAGTTAAGTAATGACTTAATGCCCTTGTGTTGTTTCATCTTAACTGGCGCTACTGTCCCAGGTACAGGGAGCTAGGGGTGCTAACATGTTCAATCCCGCCACATTCTGTATGTGCCTGTCCTAAGTCAGCAGCTTGTAATCCAGTGGTTGTTGTTTGTTGTTGTATATCATAAATTTGTATTTCGTTACATAAATCGTTTAAATTGTTTTACATTTGTCCTTTCGGGGCCGTTTAAAGCTGACTATGCGGTATGGGTTTTGATTATTGTTGAAGGCCATGTGGTGGCCTATAGTTGTTAGCTTCTTCGTCATTTTGGTCTCTGGTGGAGAGTTGTCTCATTGCCAATTATGCCACATCTGTTTTATTTTTTATATCAACCTTGTTTCCAATTAAAGAAAAAGAAATCAAACACATCCCTGATCAGGGGAGATAATATCATTTGCCTTAATAAAAAATAGCGGGAAAAAATGTAAACAGAGAGGAAGTTTTAAGTTATCTTCGGTTATTAAGGTCAAGAAATCTTTAGGTGACCATTAAGTACTGGCTAAAAAACGGGAGGACCATGTTTGAAAATATACGTGATTGAGTATAAAAGACTGATTGTTGTCCATATGACGACAATTCATCAGACACGTACTTGTATATAATAACAATGTGTTTTAATATCTATGGATTCATGAATGAGTACCACTAAAAGTCAACTCGTACCATTTATACCATTCAATGCAAATCATACCGATGCAAACTCATGCCATTAAAAGATTTGATATATCACGACTGTTTTATGACTGGTTCTGGAAGATTCTCATAAATGGGAACTAGGTATACCTGTTTATTGGTATTATACCAAAAACTGTTAATTAACCTGTACAATTTCCCAAAATCTCCCAAAAACTCAATACACTTTATCGCTATTTAGTCTAATCCAGAAAAAAACAGTCACATAGACAACTTCCTGTTTGGGTCAGGTGTCGCAAGAACAAAGGTCATCGGGTCTCACTAATTAGCGACAAGAAGCGTCAAGAACTGAAGTGACAAGAAGCATCAACAAGAAACAAATAAGCGACAAGAAGAATAATTTAGCGACAAGAAGTATAATTTAGTGACAAGAAAACAAATTTAGCGTAAAAAATCTAAATATAAATTAGTCTAAATAAATAAATATTGAAACATACATTAAATTGTCTTTTTTTAAAATACGAGAAACAAGAGAATAAACTTTTTTTTTGTTATCAAGGATTTAAAAAGTAATGTAAAAATGTATATTCTATAAGCTGTATTGCTTCTGAATAAAGTATTATTATTATTATTATATATTTAATCAGTTTACAGCATAGTCAGTGTATAGATGAATGAATCAATATGTATGTAGAGTCGGCATGGTTAATATATCAAAGATTAAAAACCTAATTATAAGATAATATAATCTTGATTTATTTCAGACTCAAAAGGTCAATATACATGTATATATATATAAATACATGACACAAAGTTGTCTGTCTTAACAGGATAAAAGGTTCAAATATTTACATTATTAATAAAAAAAACAAAAGGTATACATGAATGTTTGGATAAAAAGGGGGATCATTTTTTTTTTTTTTTTTTTAGCTGCCATTTTTCTCTATTTCTTATGGACCCTTAGTATAATCAGATGATTTATTTTCTATAAATCTATTAATTTATTAGCATGATTAGTAAATAAACTTTCTAGTCGCTAATTTTTTCTTCTTGTCGCTAATTAGTGAGACCGAGGGTCATCTGTAACGAGCTGAAGGAGGAAAAAGTTTAGAAGGCAAACATTTTGAAAGTTAATGATCTTTTTTGAAACACAAATTAAAGTAATAAAAATGCTTTGTTTGAAGTGTTTACGATGGTTTAAACATGTCTGAGACTTTGAAAAGTTTTATGCATAATACATTGTTTAAACAGGGCACCAGATAGCTTCAACTGGATGAAAAAGTTGTGTAATTTCAGAACTTATCTGAATTGGAATAAATAGCAATAAGGTGTATATGAACCTGAGAACCAATAATTATTACCCGAAAACTTTAATATACATGTATATGGAGTAATACTGCTTTTATAAATAACAACTTCTTTACTTTGAGATATATATGTCAATGTTACTCAAGAAAAGTTCAATTTAACTGCATGAATTTATTAAATTTGCATTTACCTGAATGTGTGTTTATCACTGAAAATTGATACCGGTGTTGGGGTATAATATATATCTATAAATGGGGATAATACCCATAAATGGAGATAAAATAATCATCTATGAGGATCCTCCCCAACCTGTATGAATTATCTAAAAAAATATACATAAAATTGTAATATAGTTTTAATATTCTTTTTAAGATTAACATATTGAATTTGCTGTGAATTAGTTTATGGATTGGTCCAAATTAATTACTATAGAATTTAAAGTTTAATTACAGTGATTTCTTTATAGAATTGTACTTTTGGACAAGAATATTTCTTGTTTTATAACGCGGTCCAAAGAAAGATTAAATCTGAATCATTTAACTGAGGATTTAAGAAAGGGATAAATTTAACTACAGGGTGATCAACAGAAAATAACCTAGGGTTAGATTTTAACAAAGATTTATGATATTTAACCCTGTGTTAAAATTTATTCAAGAGATGAACAACAGGGTCCAATAGTAATATTTTATCAAAAATTGGTTAAAACTTTCAACTTGTCATGCTTTGCGTGGACAGAAGCAGTCTATGATTGACAAAGTGAAGCAATTTCTGTTAAAAGTGCATAATAACCGAATCAAATTAGTACATGTAGTAATCAGCAACTATTGCCTATAGTTAAAGTTTGATCCGTTTGTTGCATTAAAAACATCATATTCCTTTCTACATGTACTATATCTTTTGTCAAAGATTGTTTATTTTTGTAATTTTACTTTGTCTGCCATGGAAAAACTTATACATGTATCCTTAGAATACAGAGCTGGACAAAATCTGACCGACCTTATATTCTTATGATTTAACTATAGACAATGCATGGCTCAGCTGAGAGGAATAATGACCCAAAGGTGAAAAATATGCATTTAACACATTGATAGATATTTGGTTAGATCCTTTGTTACAAGTATATATTTTATTGCAAATGCATTGTTTCAATTTATTTGTTTAAGTTCCTTAAATTTGTTCAATGAATATAAATAAATAAGATATATTAAGTGGCAATATATATCATAATAAAAAAACAAACACTATAACGCAGTAATTGAACGTGCATTTCTCGCATCACTTCTCCCTATGATCCTGATGTAGTGTGAGCCCTGAATTTACAACCTATAAATGATTGTGTGCCCATTGAACATGTTGAAAGAACTATTTATACATGTAACTGTTGAAAGAACTGTTTTTACATGTAAATGTTGAAAGAACTGTTTTACATGAACATGTTGAAAGAACTGTTTTACATGGACATGTTGAAAGAACTGTTATACATGGAAATGTTGAAAGAACTGTTTTACATGGACATGTTGAAAGAACTGTTATACATGAACATGTTGAAAGAACTGTTTTACATGGACATGTTGAAAGAACTGTTTTACATGGACATGTTGAAAGAACTGTTATACATGAACATGTTGAAAGAACTGTTATACATGAACATGTTGAAAGAACTGTTTTATATGAACATGTTGAAAGAACTGTTTTACATGAACATGTTGAAAGAACTGTTTTATATGAACATGTTGAAAGAAATAATTTACATGAACATGTTGAAAGAATCGTTTTACATGAACATGTTGAAAGAATTGTTTTACATGGACATGTTGAAAGAACTGTTATACATGAACATGTTGAAAGAACTGTTATACATGAACATGTTGAAAGAACTGTTTTACATGAACATGTTGATTCATGAAAGAACTGTTTTTACATGAAGATGTGGAAAGAACTGTTTTACATGAACACGTTGAAAGAACTGATTTAACATGAACATGTTGATTCATGAAAGAACTGTTATACATGAACATGTTGAAAGAACTGTTATACATGAACACATTGAAAGAACTGTTTTTACATGAACATGTTTAAAGAACTGTTTTTACATGAACACATGAAAGAACTGTTTTACAAGAACACATTGAAAGAACTGTTTTACATGAACATGTTGAAAGAACTGATTTACATGAACATGTTGAAAGAACTGTTTTACATGAACATGTTTAAAGAACTGATTTGCATTCATGAACATGTTGAAAGAATTGTTTTACATGAACATGTTGAAAGAAATTTTTTTACATAAACATGTTGAAAGAACTGTTATACATGGACAAGTTGAAAGAACTGTTTTATATGAACAAGTTGAAAGAACTGTTTTATATGAACATGTTGAAAGACCTGTTTTATATGAACATGTTGAAAGAACTGTTTTACATGAACATGTTGAAAGAACTGTTTTATATGAACATGTTGAAAGAAATAATTTACATGAACATGTTGAAAGAATCGTTTTACATGAACATGTTGAAAGAATTGTTTTACATGAACATGTTAAAAAAACTGTTATACATAAACATGTTGAAAGAACTGATTAACATGAACATGTTGAAAGAACAATTTTTCATGAACATGTTGAAAGAACTGTTTTTAATGAACATGTTTAAAGACCTGTTTTACATGAACATGTTAAAAAAAACTGTTTCACATGAACATTTTGAAAGAACTGTTTTTCATGAACATGTTAAAAGAACTGTTTTACATGGACATGTTGAAAGAATCGTTTTACATGAACATTTTGAAAGAACTGTTTTTCATGAACATGTTAAAAGAACTGTTTTACATGAACATGTTAAAAGAACTGTTTTACATGAACATAAATGACTAGTACTTCTTTTTATTATATATTGTTAATATAGATGTCAACAAAAAGAAAACATGAGGTGCCAGATCAACAGGAGACTAAGAGGAAACATACTGAGATACCAGATCAACAGGAGCCAAAGAGGAAACATGTGGAGGAACCAGATCAACAGGGGCTTACGAGAAAAAATGCAGAGGTACCAGATCTACAGGAGCTAAAAAGGAAACACACTGAGGTACCAGGTCAACAGGAACCTGTAAGGGAAAAAGTCTTAGACCATATCTACGGAAATAAATTCTGGGGACCATATTTATCAGAGAGACAGTGGTGTACTGTTAGGGAAGAAACATTAGGAAACTGGTAAATGTGTAGTACTGTAGTTAACTTTAAATGTTACAATAATGCAGATGTGAATTAAACCTGTAATAAACAATAATAAGTAGTTTTGGAAGGAAGGGAAATGATAAACTAAATTGAACTTTAAACTTATGTGTACAAACATCTGACATGGGAATTTTTTCGATAAGTTTCTTCTCAATTTGTATGCAAATTATATAATTTTAAGATACATTTCAGTTTTTCAGGTATGATAATGTAACTGTTATCATGTTTTTAATGAAAATCTTGAATATTACATGTACATGTATATTCACATACATGTACATCTGACATGAGAAAAAGTCTGTATGTTTAAATTTGTATGCAAAAAATATACAATTGCCTTCAAAACTTACCGCTGTATGTTAGAAAATGAGATTAGGCATTTCTCAGATTATAGACTTCTAATATTACAGTTGGGATAGTACATCTTATGAGAAGATAACTCATGACAGTTATAGATGGGGAGAGGACGGTATATTTGGTCTGTCTGATGAACAACAAAAGCTTTGTATGGGACTTAGTTTGTGGAATGGCAAAGATTCTGTTGTAAAAGAAAGATTTTTTGGACTTAGAGGACCACAGGTAAGATTCTGTTGTAAAAGAAAGATTTTTATGCCTCCGCCGTAGCGGTGGGGGCATTAAGTTTTACCCTTGTCCGTCTGTACGTACGTACGTCCAAAAATTGGTTTCCGTTCTCTTACTTGAGTTTGCCTCAACCAAATGTTATGAAACTTATACACAATGCTTATTACCACAAAACACAGATCAAGTTTGAATTTTGGTGGCGTCACTTTATCCGTTCTAGAGTTATGCCCCTTTATAAATGGAAAAATTGCAAAATTTTTAGTTTCCATTCTCTAACTTAAGTTTGCCTCAACCAAATGTTATGAAACTTATACACAATGCTTATTACCACAAAACACAGATCAGGTTTGAATTTTGGTGGCGTCGTTTTAACCGTTCTAGAGTTATGCCCCTTTATAAATGGAAAAATTGCAAAATTTTTATTTTCTTCTGAATATCAAGTAGTTTTTAAAATTGGAGTTATCTTCCTTTGTTCATGATTATAGTTGAATCAACTACAATCAATGTTTTATACAATGCAATGTTTAATTTTGACTTCCACTGATAAAACACAGATCAAGTTGAATTTGGGTAGTGTCACTTTAACCATTATTGAGTTATGCCCCTTTATAAATCGAAAGATTGCAAAATTTTTAATTTCCATTCTGTAACTTAAGTTTGCCCCAACAAAACATTATGAAACCTATACACAATATTCATTACCACAAAACTCAGATCAAGTTCAAATTTGGGTAGCTTCACTTTTACCGTTCTTCAGTTATGTTCCTTTATAACTATATGATATGCAAGCAGGGGCATTATCTGTGTCCACATGTGGACACTATCCACGTTTATTTGGACTTACAGGACCACAGGTAAAATACTGTTGCCTAACAATATACAGCAAGGCTGGCGAACAAATATGCAGCTTTCAGATGTGAAATATAAATAAACCGTAGAAGATACAACTCACCAACCATTTTTGTGTATTAGAATTCTTCCTAAGCTCAGTTTAGATTTGTCCACCAGATATTAAATTTCTTACATTTCTTAATTTTGTAGAATTTTATCTTTGTTATTAAAGGAGAGTTGTTTCAGTTTCAGAAATTCTATTTAAAGGATTGATTGCTAAAAAGAATATTCCCTACAAGAAAATCTGTGATTGTTATCAAGTTTTATCCATATATGTAATGTGACAGCAAACCATAAATACAGGAAATCAAAAAACACTGACAGGTGAATCTCTAGGTCAATATTTCAGGGTAACCATGGAGAGGATGTTAAAGAGCTATATTTCTACTTGGACAATGATCCTGACCACAGATACATGAAGGCCTTATATTTGTATCCTCAGACAGAATTTCCATACACAGAACTTATTGAGCAGAACAAGGGGAGGTCACCAGGACAACTAGAATATGAGATACTGGACACTGGTATTTATATTGGATACTTTAGATTCATTATAATTAACAGACTTTTCTTATTTTTTTAGCATTCTGTGGAGAAAGGTGAATGAGATAATTGATCATTGTTAGCATTTCATAATTGAACTCCACAGTCCACTATTATTAGTATTATTGATATTTTATGACTACTCAATAACTGTAGTTTAGAATACATTCTGGTTTTTAAAAAGGTCTCTTTTTACATTTAATTTTTATGTTGATTTTTTTTCTTTCTTGGGATTATGGGTTTCTCATTTACCTGTATTGTACTATTCAGGTGTGTTTGATGATGGCCATTGGCAGATTATGGTTGAGTATACTAAACCTGAAAATGACACCATTCTGTGTAGATATACAGTAACAAATATAAGTACTGAAGTCCAAACGCTGAACTTGTCTCCAAAGTTTTGGTTCAGGTAGAGTAATCAATAAAAATACAAGAAACAGATCACTGAACCTGCCTCATATATATTGTATAAGATACAGTTACCAATCAGAATATAGTAAAAGAGAGATGAAAGATACCAAAGGGACATTCAAACTCACAAGTCAAAAATAAATTGACCAACTCAATGGCTAAAAAAGAAAAAGAACAACAGACAAGCATACAAACAATAGAGTACACAAAATACAACATAAAAAACTAAAGACTGAGCAACACGCCAAAATCTGGGGGTGATCTTAGGTGCTTCAGAAAGGTAAGTAGATCCTGCTCCATGTGTGGCACCTGTTATGTTGCTCATTTTAGTACAAAACCGGTAATAAGTCTTGTATTAGATATACAGCATCCAATCACAAAATAGAAAGAATAACTCCAAGCTCTTAGTAAATTGTTGATAAGATATAGGGGCCAATTTAATACAAAACAGAAAGCAAAACACAAAACCTGCAGTAAATTGCTGTTTAAGATAAAGCAACAAATCAAATGGCAGGAAACCGAATACAGATCTTATCACAATACAGGAAGCATAATACCAAACTTGTCAGTAAATTGTTGATTAGATACAGCAACCAATCACATTACAGGAAACTAAATACAGATCCAATCACCGTACAGGAAGTATAACACCAAACCTGTCAGTAAATTGTTGTTCAAGATACAGCAATCAATAACAATTCTTGAATCAAATTAGAATAGACTGACTTGATGATGAACCAAAGAGAGCAATTTTCACTTCTTGGTTCAGATTTGTGGTTCTATCATTTGAGTTACAAAAGAAACATTTAAGGATTTTTGACAAAAAAATCAACATAATACGTTGTGTGTTTTTATTTTCAAAGTACATGTAGATCCAATTATCCTGAATAGAAACCTCATAATCAATCCAAGAAAAGCAATTGTTTTCAATTAAAAAAAAAATGTCTTATTTGTACTTAAAAGATTCCTTTATAATTTTAAGAAATATATTTGCTGAAAACATTCTTTTAAAGGCTTATAAAACTTAGAGGCTTTGTGCATATCAAGTTTTCTTGACATGTTAGCACTATTTAAATGGCTTTATGGAACAATTGAAAATAACTTCATTCATTAGTCTAAAAAGTTTTCAGTTCTGTTTTCACCTAAAACACAAAAGAGTGATAATTTTTATTTTTATATGATGAAATTGTGCATCTATGTTTAATCTGATAATACTAGTCTATTTCTTCGCATAACTGTATTATTTTTTCCAGACATGATTATGATGCCAAACAAATGAGTGATGTCCCCTGTTTTCAGGTCAAAGGTGATGAATCAGTTGTTTCTGTCAGTTATCAGTTGGGTAAGTTTATTATATCTATTCAAGTTTTTGTCTGACCTGTGACAGAGTCATGGTCAATTGGCTTTGATAAAAATTGCATTGTTAAGGTGCCACTTTAATTTTAACTAGTTATAATATCAAAAATACATACAGGTCAGACAAATTTCTGTGTCAACAGTTTATTTTTGCTAATTCTGAATTGAAACTTTATAATTTTTAAATAAAAGTTACATATATTTATAGAAGTCATTTGAACTTTACTGATTCAGATATATATATATATATACTGTGGATTCATTTATTTTCGTGGGTATCAATTTTCGTGGATAGAGAAAAAAAGACGTTTCGTGGTATACGTAAATTCGTGGATCGCTGATTACAAAAAAATAAATAAATTCAGATACGTAATTCGTGGATTTCTTTTTGATTTAGGAGATCATATAACCTCCTTGGTTTGATCAATAATAAAACAAACAAAAACGAAGGAATTCATTGAAAAAGTTTTGATTTGTCAAAATCCTCGCTTAGTCATTCTAGGTTAAAGTGTTCATTGAAAACTTCTATTACAATAATGGACAGAGACAACTAATTATTTGTTTGTCAAGTTTAACAATTTATAAATTCTTGTCAGAATTTTATAAGGCATTCAAATCTCTATGATTGAAAGCTCATTTGCCTAATAATGATATAATATATAAGTATAAGTAAAAGGTGTGAAAATAAATGTTCCTGTCATAAACAATATTACCTACGGGCAATATCCCCGTACTTAATCCTATTGATTTTTAATCACCAGTAAACCAAACTATGACACGGTAATTAACAACTTGCAGTTATTTTCCATGAACAGTTTAAATCAATTTTAAAAAGTAATTTATGACTGATATTCGATATATTTATTATTGATTTAAGCAAAATACTTGTATCTTCTTTCAATAAAAACACGTGTTATGTTACAATGTTTACCGCTAGTCAACACTATACAAGAACTGCATAACAGGAAATAAACATCCGACTCCATACACATTTCTCGGGATTATTTTTCGTTGAATTCTTAAATTCGTGGTTCGCTGTGACCCACGAAACCCACGAAAATTGGTATACCACGAATAAAAATGAATCCACAGTATGTATTAAACTTGCAGCTAATGAATTCCTGTTTGACTTTAAGAGTAGGAGGTGTTGTGGGTTACAAATCAAGAGATATCAACCCAACAGTATAGCATTAATACGTCCGCAAGATTAAATATTCAACAGAGTAAAATGCATCAGTATTGAACAGAATTTCTCATACAAAAAATACAACAAAAATTGTTTGGACAAAATAAAATATCTGACTGTAGTAAGTTTATGGTAAATTGTTTAAGAGGGAAAAAAGGAACACCACTGAGACAAATACCAATAATACACAATCATTTCATTGACATTTTATAATAATTAAATTCATGTGTTCCGTGTTTTAGGTGAATTTTGTGTAAACTTTTCAAAATCAAGTTCAGGTCAATCTCCAGAAATAAAATTGAAGAGGAACCATTCAAATACAAGTAAGATATTGAAATAAGGAAATATGGTATGATTGCTAATGTGGCAAATAGCCACTAGAGAACAAAAGACAACTATAAGTCATCTTAGGGCCTTGGTCAATAGGCCGTCTCTCATTACTTAAATGGCATGTCTTTTGACTGTGCTGGAATATATAAATACACAACATTGTCCAGTAAAAATTGGGATGTTAAATCTGATGCCTTATGTAAAAATGTCCACACATTATACTTGTGAAAGAACCATTGCAAAGGATGTATAAAATATTTGTCTCTGGACATCAAGTAAACATCCATCAATCAATCAAACATAATGTTTTCGTCAATATTATAAATTTAATCAAAAGGCACACATAGTTTTATAGTCCTCCATGTGTTTATCTTCCAAGGCAAACATGAATTCATAGTCTGTAATCACAACATTTTCCAACTTAAAACATGATTTTGTATCTGCATCTATCCGTAGCTTAAAAACAAACACCCACTATTTCATTTGAAAATTTTCTTTAGAATTATCACAGAAAACAAGGTTCTATTAAAGGTATGACAGCAATTTCCCCTCAATGAGATCTCCTACTTTGAAGGTATAAAAGTTGACTCTATGCTGTTACTGGATATGACTTGTACTTTATTTTCCTATGAATGTGATTTATCTGTGACCCTTAAGAGTCAAAATAAAAATAAATGATTATTTGCTATAACTGTGTTATATATTGTTCAGTCTCTCAGTTTTTTTCTTTTAGAGCCAGACTGTTGCTATGCAGCATACAACCTTGAAGTAAAACCTGGTGGACATGATCTTATAGAATGGGAGTTATTACCTGTAGGAAAACCTTCTTACATTGACAATAGTTCAAATGTTATACAAGAATGGAAGATTAAAGCTGAAACATTTTATAATTCAGTAGGTACATTTGGTTTATTTTAGATATTGTGTCACATGACATTAAAATTGAGAATGGAAATGGGAAATGTGTCAAAGAGACAACAACCCCACCATAGAGCAGACAAGTTGGGGCATCTGTTCTGTTATATGATTTGTGGGGGTCCATATCTTCTGTGTCACATGACAATGTCTGGCTGGGGCATCTGTTCTGTTGTGATTTGTTGTGGTCCATATCTTCTGTGTTACATGACATTGTCTAGCTGGGACATCTGTTCTGATGTGATTTGTTGTGGTCTATATCTTCTGTGTCACATGACAATGTCTAGCTGGGACATCTGTTCTATTGTGATTTGTTGTGGTCCATATCTTCTGTGTCACATGACATTGTCTAGCTGGGACATCTGTTCTGATGTGATTTGTTGTGGTCCATATCTTCTGTGTCACATGACAATGTCTGGCTGGGACATCTGTTCTGATGTGATTTGTTGTGGTCCATATCTTCTGTGTCACATGACAATGTCTAGCTGGGGCATCTGTTCTGCTGTGGAATAAACAGTTTTATTATTATTTGTAGCTGTATGATTGTCAATTGTCTGACCAAGAAAAGGCTGTTGCTAAGGGAACATGGGCAGGACTTCTGTGGAACAAACAGTTTTATTATTATTTGTAGCTGTATGATTGTCAATGGTCAGACCAACAAAAAGACTGTTGCTAAGGGAGCTTGGGCAGGACTTCTGTGGAACAAACAGTTTTATTTTTATTTGTAGCTGTATGATTGTCAATGGTCAGACCAACAAAAGACTGTTGCTAAGGGAGCTTGGGCAGGACTTCTGTGGAATAAACAGTTTTATTATTATTTGTAGCTGCATAATTGTCAATGGTCAGACCAAGATAAGGCTGTTGCTAAGGGAGCATGGGCAGGACTTCTGTGGAATAAACAGTTTTATTATTATTTGTAGCTGTATGATTGTCAATGGTCAGACCAAGAAAAGGCTGTTGCTAAGGGAGCTTGGGCAGGACTTCTGTGGAATAAACAGTTTTATTATTATGATATTGATGAGTGGTATCACAGAGGACAAGCTATGGAAAAGAAAGTTAAATCAGGTATTTATATTATACCTAAAACAAGTGAATGACAGAATGGTAATTTGAAAAAATTGAAAGTACAGAATAGTAATTATATCTGCTTCAAATTAATCAATCAGATCTGGAATTTTAACATGAAGTTTCACAAAAAACAAATAGTAAAGAACAAAAATAGGGGAGATCATACAAAACAATCATATATTATTATACAAAAAACATTTTGTAAAAACAAACATAAACAACTGGCCACAAAATTCTACACAAAAAATAAAGACAAATCCCACCAAAGTTAACCTCAGTTGCTCCAGTAGGGTAAGCAGGAATTACCATAAATATTAGACAACATATCAAACATAACTTGTCAAAAGCATAACAAAGATCAAAACATACATCTACTATTAGGAATTTTACCATTTTCAATATGTCATAGAAGTAAGAATATAGAAGGTATTTCTTAACTCTGTGTAGCATAAGCCTAGATCATTTGTATTTCACCAAGAAAGTTGTTTTATTTATATAGACATATAATTTATTGTAGTTAAACCTGGAAACTGGGATGTAATGGAAAGAAATATAAAATGGAGAAAACATTTCAAAGCTAAAGATATCTTATCTGTTCCAGATAAATGGGAGTTCCCATGGGTATGTCTTTTTCACAATAAGTTTTAGAAATTTATAGTATTAATCTATAAAATAGAATTACTTAATATATTCTGCAGTTGACATTTATGAGTTGTACAGAATTTACTTAATACTTTTGTCATACAATACTCCAATACTACTTAACAATGAGACAGCAACCCAAAAACACAAACAATCAAAATACATCTGAAGGTCAATATTATACAATTACTGTCTTTTGATGAGGTAAATATGTAGTTTTATTGACTTGACAAACTGATATTCACTGAGGCCAACGGCCGAAGTGAATATCAGTTTTTCAAAAGTCAATTAAACCATATATATTTATCAAAACAAAAGACAGTAAATGTTTTATTCCATATTCCGGGAGAAATGTACGTAATGGCAATTATTTACCAAAACCAATTGTACATCAAACGTTTTTTACCAAAATTATTCACGTAAAAGCATGCAACGTTTTGCGCGGTGAATATACCTTTTCCGTAGGTGAATATGCTTATTTATTCAAAATCCCATTCATATAGAAAAACTTAGTGCCTATATAAAATCTAACTTGCCCTTAGTATAATAAGGTCATTAATATATTCAACAGAGAATATTACAGATCTTTAATCAACTTTAAACTCCAAATATAAGTGATAAAACATCTATATTTAAATCAATTTAATCTAAGAAATATAATTCATTTTGCTATAACATGATTGCATATTTATTTTTCTATTCCAGTTTGCTACATGGGACACATGTCTCCAAGTTATTAATCTGATTCAGTTTGTTATTCAGTGATTACTTTTCTGTTCCAGTTTTCTACATGGAACGCATGTCTCCAGATAACTAATCTGATCCAGTTTGTTATTCAGTGATTACTTTTCTGTTCCAGCTTTCTACATGGAACACATCTTACCAGATAGATAATCTGATTCAGTGATTACTTTTCTTTTCAAGTTTTCTACATGTGACACATGTTCCGTATGACTTACCTAATTCAGTGATAACTTTTCTGTTCCAGTTTGCTACGTGGGACACATGTTTGCAGATGAATAATCTTATTCATTTTTTTAGTGATTACTTTTCTATACCAGTTTGCTACATGGGACACATGTTTCCAGATAATTAATCTGATTCAGTTTGTTATTTAGTGATTACTTTTCTATTCCAGTTTTCTACATGGAACACATGTTTCCAGATAAATAATCTGATTCAGTTTGTTATTCAGTGATTACTTTTCTATTCCAGTTTGCTATGTGGAATACATGTTTCCAGATAAATAATCTGATTCAGTTTGTTATTCAGTGATTACTTTTCTATTCCAATTTCTACATGGAACACATGTTTCCAGATAATTAATCTGATTCAGTTTGTTATTCAGTGATTACTTTTCTATTCCAGTTTGCTATGTGGGATACATGTTTCCAGATAAATAATCTGATTCAGTTTGTTATTCAGTTATTACTTTTCTATTCCAGTTTGCTATGTGGGATACTTGTTTCCAGATAATTAATCTGATTCAGTTTGTTATTCAGTGATTACTTTTCTATTCCAGTTTGCTACATGGAACACATGTTTCCAGATAAATAATCTGATTCAGTTTGTTATTCAGTGATTACTTTTCTATTCCAGTTTGCTATATGGGATACATGTTTCCAGATAGTTAATCTGATTCAGTTTGTTATTCAGTGATTACGTTTCTATTCCAGTTTGCTGTGTGGGATACATGTTTCCAGATAAATAATCTGATTCAGTTTGTTATTCAGTGATTATTTTTCTATTCCAGTTTGCTACATGGAACACATGTTTCCAGATAAATAATCTGATTCAGTTTGTTATTCAGTTATTACTTTTCTATTACAGTTTGCTACATGGGACACATGTTTCCAGATGATATCATTTTGTCGTCTTGATCCTGAATTTGCCAAGCATCAGTTACTATTTCTGTTATCAGAAAGATACATGTCTCCAGAAGGACAGGTCTGTTTTTATAATTCTTTATCTAATAAACAATTATTTGTTCCATTTGTTAAAAGTTCAGTTAATAGACCCTTTATCATTTGTACTGTTATAGCAGAAAGATTGAATTTATCATTCGTGACTGCAATATTTCTATGTAGTCTCACAATTAGAAATGATTTTTGTTTGATTTAACAATTTACAGTAACACATGACAATTATAATTTCTGTGCCATACAATGCATATATGTTTAAACTTCTAGATTCATTTAAAGGCACACATGGTTATCTTACAGATATCATGTGACCTTGATATGAATATAGGGGTCTACTTTAATGTGACAGCAACCCAACAATAGACTTAGACTTTACACATTCCTTCTTTCTTGTGGATAATTTTCTTCCATACAAAATGTTATTAATTTATTTTCAGTTACCAGGATGTGAGTTTAATTTTGATGACAACAATCCACCTATTCATGCATGGACTAGTCTAAAGGTGTTCCAAATGACTGGAGGGACTGATCTACACTTCTTATTCAACTGTTTCTGTAAACTTCAGAAAAACTATAACTGGTTAGTATGTCTTAACTTTAAATGTATCATAATTGTATTTATGTGGCTACTTGATTTTGATAAATCCTGCATGTAAATAGGAAATTTGTATTTCCTTGAACACATTGAAATGGTTTTTCATATTTTGCCTCAAAATCAAGTTACAATAATGAATCCAAAGTATTTATAATTTTATGATGTACTGGGCCAACTAAATATAATGAACTGATTTTTACTTGTTTGGATTATACTACACCATGTGTGCAATTAGGTAATTTAATTGTATGTTTCCAAAACAAATAATCAAAAAATTATTTAAATAATTTTCTATGAAATCCATCATTTTTAGCTCACCTGACAAGTGAGCTTTTCTCATCACTTGGCGTCCGTCGTCTGTCGTCCGTCGTCGTCGTCGTCCGTTAACTTTTACAAAAATCTTCTTCTCTGAAACTACTTAGATAAATTCAACCAAACTTGGCCACAATCATCATTAGGGTATGTGTCTGATGACCCTGCCTCCCAACCAACATGGCCGACATGGCTAAAAATAGAACATAGGGGTAAACTACAGTTTTTGGCTTATAACTCTGAAACTAAAGCAAAAGTATGATGGTTGTATTATTTTATGCCTCAATTGTAAACAAAAATATCAGGTGAGCGACACAGGCTCCTTGGAGCCTCTAGTTTTTAAACGCCCATCAAAATTTTTACAAATGATCGGCGTCTGTCCGGCGTAAAAATGTTGCACCGAAACTTGAGAACAAATTATCCAAATTTCATGAAACTCAACATAGTTGTTTCTTATGACGGTCAAACGATCTGTATACTTTTTGGTGGAAATAAGATTAAAATATTTTGAGTTAAAGGATTTTGTAACTAAAACAGGGGTATGTTTTTTTCACATGTATCTCAAAAACAATTTATGATTATTGCTTAAAACTTTACACACTTCTTAGTTATATTAAACTAAAGATCTGTATACTTTTTGGTCATGATTCAAAATTTATTTTATAGTTATTGAGTTTTTTGTAAAAAAAAAGGGTGGGGTTTCACATGTCGCCCTGTATCTCAAATATGATTTATGATTATTTCTTAAAACTTTACACACTTCTTAGTTATATTAATTTAAAGATCTGTATACTTTTTGGTGATGATTCAAAATTTTATTTTCGAGTTATTGAGTTTTTGGTAAGAAAAAGGGGGTTATTCACATGTAGTGCCGTATCTCAGAAAGTATTTATGATTATTGCATAAAACTTCACACACAAGACGACAGGCTTATCATGCGCTCTTGGTGCAGCTGTTTATTAACTTTTATCATATTTGAGTGCAACTGGTCAAAACAGGAAAACTAAAGGTCTAATTTATTGCAATATCTTTCATAGCTGCTTCTGTAATTATGAGTCTTCTCTGGAAGAGTAAAGTTTTAATAACTTATTTCCTATATCTTGACAGGTGGATGACAAACCTTCAGTGCAGTGATAGGTACATATTCCATGGTGGCTTTCTGGGTTTAGACAATATAAGTGTTGTAGACAGAGGGTGTCCACCAGAGGGATATACAATTAAACAGGTATGGACAATATCACTGACAATATTAGTGTTGTAGACAGAGGGTGTCCACCAGAGGGATATACAATTAAACAGGTATGGACAATATCACTGACAATATAAGTGTTGTAGACAGAGGGTGTCCACGTTGTCACAGAATAGAAGTTCCTTCATAATATAAGTTCCAAAAGGAAACAGTATTCTGGAATATTATTTCCAATGGAAAAAATATTACAGTAAATGTTCCTAACGGAATAAATGGTATAGAATATTTGTTCCAACAGGAACAGATATTATGACATTGTTTATAACAAAGTTTCCAGTGGAACTTCTGTTAGGCGGAACAAATATACGTTGACACACCAGAGGGATATACAGTTAAACAGGTATGGACAATATCACTGACAATATTAGTGTTGTAGACAGAGGGTGTCCACCAGAGGGATATACAGTTAAACAGGTATGGACAATATCACTGACAATATTAGTGTTGTAGACAGAGGGTGTCCACCAGAGGGATATACAATTAAACAGGTATGGACAATATCACTGACAATATAAGTGTTGTAGACAGAGGGTGTCCACCAGAGGGATATACAATTAAACAGGTATGGACAATATCACTGACAATATAAGTGTTGTAGACAGAGGGTGTCCACCAGAGGGATATACAATTAAACAGGTATGGACAATATAAGTGTTGTAGACAATATAAGTGTTGTAGACAGAGGGTGTCCACCAGAGGGATATACAGTTAAACAGGTATGGACAATATCACTGACAATATTAGTGTTGTAGACAGAGGGTGTCCACCAGAGGGATATACAATTAAACAGGTATGGACAATATCACTGACAATATTAGTGTTGTAGACAGAGGGTGTCCACCAGAGGGATATACAATTAAACAGGTATGGACAATATCACTGACAATATAAGTGTTGTAGACAGAGTGTGTCCACCAGAGGGATATACAATTAAACAGGTATGGACAATATAAGTGTTGTAGACAATATAAGTGTTGTAGACAGAGGGTGTCCACCAGAGGGATATACAATTAAACAGGTATGGACAATATCACTGACAATATAAGTGTTGTAGACAGAGGGTGTCCACCAGAGGGATATACAGTTAAACAGGTATGGACAATATCACTGACAATATTAGTGTTGTAGACAGAGGGTGTCCACCAGAAGGATATACAATTAAACAGGTATGGACAATATCACTGACAATATAAGTGTTGTAGACAGAGGGTGTCCACCAGAGGGATATACAATAAACAAGTATGGACAATATCACTGACAATATAAGTGTTGAAGACAGAGGGTGTCCACCAGAGGGATATACAATTAAACAGGTATGGACAATATCACTGACAATATTAGTGTTGTAGACAGAGGGTGTCCACCAGAGGGATATACAATTAAACAGGTATGGACAATATCACTGACAATATTAGTGTTGTAGACAGAGGGTGTCCACCAGAGGGATATACAATTAAACAGGTATGGACAATATCACTGACAATATAAGTGTTGTAGACAGAGGGTGTCCACCAGAGGGATATACAATTAAACAGGCAAGAAATATAAATAACTTTTTTATTGACCTGTCATGGTTTATTAAACAGCAGGTATTTCATAAATATCAATTAAATCAAAGTAAATGATTTCATCTGCAGCTTGAGGCCACTATATTATGACATCACCAAAGTACAAATCTGCCACCCATCAAAAGGGAAATGAGACTGAATAATTTGGGTAAACAGACATGTGACTTTTCTAAAAAAAATAACTGGAATATCACTTTTCTTAAAATAACCATGTAATATTACTCTTCTATCAGCTGTTTTCAGTGTGCCTTTGAAAATATAGTTGAACATACTCTTTCTAAACAAATCAAATTAGTTCGAATATATATGATTATCTTTAGGCTGACGCTACAGCATGGATGGCTTTGTTTGCTTTAAGTATGATACAGATTGGAATTGAGTTAACCAGACATAACTTTCCTAGCCCAGGAGACATACACAAGGATCTGATTAAATACCTCAAAGATTTTCTTCATATTTCCCACCAGTTAAATAAAGATATAGATAATGGAGGTTTGTAGTATTGGCATCACATCCTATCCCTTGTTGTTTCATCATTTCAATATCTGAGGTATTATGGGTAAGATTTTAAAAGCCTACAGTTCATCTGATTGTTGTGACATTATTGACAATGGAGATTTAAAAAAAATGAACTCATGTTTATTTTTTGGATTTATGCCTGATTACTTTATCAAAAGTTATAAAGTATGCCTAATGACTTTATATAAGGTTATCATAAGGTGTTCCTGTCTGATTACTCAATCTAAGGTAACCATAAGCTGTGCATTATTTTATACCTGATTACCTATACTTTATCCAAGATAATCATAAGATATAAAATTGAAAATGGAAATGGGGAATATGTCAAAGAGACAACAACCCGACCAAAGAGCAGATAACAGCTGAAGGCCTCCAATGGGTCTTCAACACAGCGAGAAAATCCTGCACCCTGAGGTGGGCCTCAGCTGGCCCCTAAATAAAAATGTGTACTAGTTCAGTGAAAATGGAAGTCATACTAAACTCCAAAACATATAAATGAACTAAAATAAAAAAAACTTACAAGACTAGCAAAGGCCAGAGGCTCCTGACTTAGGACAGGTTCAAAAATGCGGCGGGGTTAAACATGTTTTGTAAGATCTCAACCCTCATATAGGTAAATTTCTGAAAATTGGATATAATTCAAGATTAGGTTTCTAATTATGTTATTTGATGTATTTCATAACAATTACAAGAATATTAATATAGAATTGTGTTAGTAATTGTGCAACTAACTATTTCGGCCTTTCTTCCAAATCAAAATGTGTAAAACAAATTTCGAGACAATCTTCAAATCAAAGGTATATAGTTACTACTTAATGCCCTGTTTATTTAATAACATTTTAAGAATGTGGAATCCTGGGAGATATTCTCTTCATATCAAAAGTGACAAAGTCTATATATAGTAAAATTGAGAATGGAAATGGGGAATGTGTCAAAGAGACAACAACCCGACCATAGAACAGACAACAGCAGAAGGTCACCAACAGGTCTTCAATGCAGCGAGAAATTCCCGCACCCGGAGGCGTCCTTCAGCTGGCCCCTAAACAAATATATATACTAGTTCAGTGATAATGAACGCCATACTAAACTCCAAATTGTACACAAGAAACTAAAATTAAAAATAATACAAGACTAACAAAGGCTAGAGGCTCCTGACTTGGGACAGGCGCAAAAATGCGGCGGGGTTAAACATGTTTATGAGATCTCAACCCTCCCCCTATACCTCTAGCCAATGTAGAAAAGTAAACGCATAACAATACGCACATTAAAATTCAGTTCAAGAGAAGTCCGAGTCCGATGTCAGAAGATGTAACCAAAGAAAATAAACAAAATGACAATAATACATAAATAACAACAGACTACTAGCAGTTAACTGACATGCCAGCTCCAGACTTCAATTAAACTGATTGAAAGATTATGTCTTCATCATATGAATATCAGGCACAATCCTTCCCGTTAGGGGTTTAGTATCATACCATCATAACATATATGAGAAGAACATAACCCGTGTCATGCCAACAACTTGTTTTTAAATAATTGTGTTTAGTGCCGATGCAAAGACCCTATAAGTGAATCAATATTAACGCCAAAATATGCAATCTTTAATGACCTGACAACAGTATCGTAACTATATCCCTTCTTAATAAGTCTATTTAAAGGTTTTGTTAGCTTCAGAGGTGAATACTGACATTTTTGTGCTTTATAAAGAATATTTCCATAAAAAATTGGATGTGAAATACCTGAACGTATAAGAAGTCTGCATGTTGAGCTATATTTACGAATGATGTCCTTATACCGATGATAAAATTTAGTAAATGTTTTGACTAGTTTGTGATATCGAAAACCCTGGTGTAATAATTTTTCAGTAATACAAATTTTAGCTTGTAGCTTGTGGTACTGTTAACTTTAGTAGTATTAGATGTACAGAGGAATTAAAACAGACGTTACAAACAGACTCTATACATGTATGTGGAGTAATTAAAGTTAGATCACTTGTTGGGTTACTTCCCCTTGTAGCTTAATGCCCTGTGTATTTATTCAAATTTCAGGAATGTGGAATCCAGAGATGACATTTTATAATGATGTTTTGGTAGATCAACTTACAGAGCAGTACATACCAATACAAGTTAGATCACTTGTTGGGTTACTTCCCCTTGTAGCTTGTGGTACTGTTAACTTTAGTGGTATTAGATGTACAGAGGAATTAAAACAGGTGTTACAAACAGACTCTATACATGTATGTGGAGTAATTATAGTTAGATCACTTGTTGGGTTACTTCCCCTTGTAGCTTGTGGTACTGTTAACTTTAGTGGTATTAGATGTACAGAGGAATTAAAACAGGTGTTACAAACAGACTCTATACATGTATGTGGAGTAATTAAAGTTTGATCACTTGTTGGGTTACTTCCCCTTGAAGCTTGTGGTACAGTTAACTTTAGTGGTATTAGATGTACAGAGGAATTAAAACAGGTGTTACAAACAGACTCTATACATGTATGTGGAGTAATTAAAGTTAGATCACTTGTTGGGTTACTTCCCCTTGTAGCTTGTGGTACTGTTAACTTTAGTAGTATTAGATGTACAGAGGAATTAAAACAGACGTTACAAACAGACTCTATACATGTATGTGGAGTAATTAAAGTTAGATCACTTGTTGGGTTACTTCCCCTTGTAGCTTGTGGTACTGTTAACTTTAGTGGTATTAGATGTACAGAGGAATTAAAACAGGTGTTTCAAACAGACTCTATACATGTATGTGGAGTAATTAAAGTTTGATTACTTGTTGGGTTACTTCCCCTTGTAGCTTGTGGTACTGTTAACTTTAGTGGTATTAGATGTACAGAGGAATTAAAACAGGTGTTTCAAACAGACTCTATACATGTATGTGGAGTAATTAAAGTTTGATCACTTGTTGGGTTACTTCCCCTTGAAGCTTGTGGTACAGTTAACTTTAGTGGTATTAGATGTACAGAGGAATTAAAACAGGTGTTACAAACAGACTCTATACATGTATGTGGAGTAATTAAAGTTAGATCACTTGTTGGGTTACTTCCCCTTGTAGCTTGTGGTTACTGTTAACGTAAGTGGTATTAGATGTACAGAGGAATTAAAACAGGTGTTACAAACAGACTCTATACATGTATGTGGAGTAATTAAAGTTAGATCACTTGTTGGGTTACTTCCCCTTGTAGCTTGTGGTTACTGTTAACGTTAGTGGTATTAGATGTACAGAGGAATTAAAACAGTTGTTACAAACAGACTCTATACATGTATGTGGAGTAATTAAAGTTAGATCACTTGTTGGTTTACTTCCCCTTGTAGCTTGTGGTTACTGTTAACGTTAGTGGTATTAGATGTACAGAGGAATTAAAACAGTTGTTACAAACAGACTCTATACATGTATGTGGAGTAATTAAAGTTAGATCACTTGTTGGGTTACTTCCCCTTGTAGCTTGTGGTTACTGTTAACTTTAGAGGTATTAGATATACAGAGGAATTAAAACAGGTGTTACAAACAGACTCTATACATATATGTGGAGTAATTAAAATTGGATCACTTGTTGGGTTACTTCCCCTTGTAGCTTGTGGTTACTGTTAACTTTAGTGGTATTAGATGTACAGAGGAATTAAAACAGTTGTTACAAACAGACTCTATACATGTATGTGGAGTAATTAAAGTTAGATCACTTGTTGGGTTACTTCCCCTTGTAGCTTGTGGTTACTGTTAACTTAAGAGGTATTAGATATACAGAGGAATTAGAACAGGTGTTACAAACAGACTCTATACATGTATGTGGAGTAATTAAAGTTAGATCACTTGTTGGGTTACTTCCCCTTGTAGCTTGTGGTACTGTTAACTTTAGTGGTATAAGATGTACAGAGGAATTAAAACAGGTGTTGCAAACAGACTGTATACATGTATGTAGAGTAATTAAAATTAGATCACTTGTTGGGTTACTTCCCCTTGTAGCTTGTGGTACTGTTAACTGTAATGGTATTAGATGTACAGAGGAATTAAAACAGGTGTTACAAACAGACTCTATACATGTATGTGGAGTAATTAAAGTTAGATCACTTGTTGGGTTACTTCCCCTTGTAGCTTGTGGTACTGTTAACTTTAGTGGTATTAGATGTACAGAGGAATTAAAACAGGTGTTACAAACAGACTCTATACATGTATGTGGAGTAATCAAAGTTAGATCACTTGTTGGGTTACTTCCCCTTGTAGCTTGTGGTATTAGAGGTACAGAGGAATTAAAACAGGCATTACAAACAGACTTTATACATGTATGTGGAGTAATTAAAGTTAGATCACTTGTTGGGTTACTTCCTCTTGTAGCTTGTGGTACTGTTAACTTTAGTGGTATTAGATGTACAGAGGAATTAAAACAGGTGTTACAAACAGACTCTATACATGTATGTGGAGTAATTAAAGTTAGATCACTTGTTGGGTTACTTCCCCTTGTAGCTTGTAGTACTGTTAACTTTATTGGTATTAGATGTACAGAGGAATTAAAACAGGTGTTACAAACAGACTCTATACATGTATGTGGAGTAATTAAAGTTAGATCACTTGTTGGGTTACTTCCCCTTGTAGCTTGTGGTACTGTTAACTTTAGTGGTATTAGATGTACAGAGGAATTAAAACAGTTGTTACAAACAGACTCTATACATGTATGTGTCATAATTTATTAAAGTTAGATCACTTATAGGGTTACTTCCCCTTGTAACTTGTGGTACTGTTAACTTTATTGGTATTAGATGTACAGAGGAATTAAAACAGTTGTTACAAACAGACTCTATAAATGTATGTGGAGTAATTAAAGTTAGATCAGTTGTTGGGTTACTTCCCCTTGTAGCTTGTGGTAAAGTTAACTTTAGTGGTATTAGATGTACAGAGGAATTAAAACCGTTGTTACAAACAGACTCTATACATGTATGTGGAGTAATTAAAGTTAGATCACTTGTTGGGTTACTTCCCCTTGTAGCGTGTGTTACTGTTAACCTCAGTGGTATTAGATGTACAGAGGAATTAAAACAGGTGTTACAAACAGACTATACACATGTATGTGGAGTAATTAAAGTTAGATCACTTGTTGGGTTACTTCCCCTTGTAGCTTGTGGTACTGTTAACTTTAGTGGTATAAGATGTACAGAGGAATTAAAACAGGTGTTACAAACAGACTCTATACATGTATGTGGAGTAATTAAAGTTAGATCACTTGTTGGGTTACTTCCCCTTGTAGCTTGTGGTTACTGTTAACTTTAGAGGTATTAGATGTACAGAGGAATTAAAACAGTTGTTACAAACAGACTCTATACATGTATGTGGAGTAATTAAAGTTAGATCACTTGTTGGGTTACTTCCCCTTGTAGCTTGTGGTTACTGTTAACGTTAGTGGTATTAGATGTACAGAGGAATTAAAACAGGTGTTACAAACAGACTCTATACATGTATGTGGAGTAATTAAAGTTAGATCACTTGTTGGGTTAATTCCCCTTGTAGCTTGTGGTTACTGTTAACGTTAGTGGTATTAGATGTACAGAGGAATTAAAACAGTTGTTACAAACAGACTCTATACATGTATGTGGAGTAATTAAAGTTAGATCACTTGTTGGGTTACTTCCCCTTGTAGCTTGTGGTTACTGTTAACTTTAGAGGTATTAGATATACAGAGGAATTAAAACAGGTGTTACAAACAGACTCTATACATATATGTGGAGTAATTAAAGTTGGATCTTTTGTTGGGTTACTTCCCCTTGTAGCTTGTGGTTACTGTTAACTTTAGTGGTATTAGATGTACAGAGGAATTAAAACAGTTGTTACAAACAGACTCTATACATGTATGTGGAGTAATTAAAGTTAGATCACTTGTTGGGTTACTTCCCCTTGTAGCTTGTGGTTACTGTTAACTTAAGAGGTATTAGATATACAGAGGAATTCGAACAGGTGTTACAAACAGACTCTATACATGTATGTGGAGTAATTAAAGTTAGATCACTTGTTGGGTTACTTCCCCTTGTAGCTTGTGGTACAGTTAACTTTAGTGGTATTAGATGTACAGAGGAATTAAAACAGGTGTTACAAACAGACTCTATACATGTATGTGGAGTAATTAAAGTTAGATCACTTGTTGGGTTACTTCCCCTTGTAGCTTGTGGTACTGTTAACTTTAGTGGTATTAGATGTACAGAGGAATTAAAACAGGTGTTACAAACAGACTCTATACACGTATGTGGAGTAATTAAAGTTAGATCACTTGTTGGGTTACTTCCCCTTGTAGCTTGTGGTACAGTTAACTTTAGTGGTATTGGATGTACAGAGGAATTAAAACAGTTACAAACAGACTCTATACATGTATGTGGAGTAATTAAAGTTAGATCACTTGTTGGGTTACTTCCCCTTGTAGCTTGTGGTACTGTTAACTTTAGTGGTATTAGATGTACAGAGGAATTAAAACAGTTGTTACAAACAGACTCTATACATGTATGTGTCATAATTTATTAAAGTTAGATCACTTATAGGGTTACTTCCCCTTGTAACTTGTGGTACTGTTAACTTTATTGGTATTAGATGTACAGAGGAATTAAAACAGTTGTTACAAACAGACTCTATAAATGTGTGTGGAGTAATTAAAGTTAGATCAGTTGTTGGGTTACTTCCCCTTGTAGCTTGTGGTAAAGTTAACTTTAGTGGTATTAGATGTACAGAGGAATTAAAACCGTTGTTACAAACAGACTCTATACATGTATGTGGAGTAATTAAAGTTAGATCACTTGTTGGGTTACTTCCCCTTGTAGCGTGTGTTACTGTTAACCTCAGTGGTATTAGATGTACAGAGGAATTAAAACAGGTGTTACAAACAGACTATACACATGTATGTGGAGTAATTAAAGTTAGATCAGTTGTTGGGTTACTTCCCCTTGTAGCTTGTGGTTACTGTTAACTTTAGAGGTATTAGATGTACAGAGGAATTAAAACAGTTGTTACAAACAGACTCTATACATGTATGTGGAGTAATTAAAGTTAGATCACTTGTTGGGTTACTTCCCCTTGTAGCTTGTGGTTACTGTTAACGTAAGTGGTATTAGATGTACAGAGGAATTAAAACAGGTGTTACAAACAGACTCTATACATGTATGTGGAGTAATTAAAGTTAGATCACTTGTTGGGTTACTTCCCCTTGTAGCTTGTGGTTACTGTTAACGTTAGTGGTATTAGATGTACAGAGGAA